TTGTCCAGCTGCACCCCCATAGCCACCTTCAGCCGCCGTCCATAGCCGGCGTCGATCGGCTGGACCTCGTCCGTACAGCCTGCCGGCAGGTGCCAAAGAAGCGTGTTGTACTCCTTGTGGATATACTTGCGGAATTCCTCAGTCGTCTGCCCGTGCAGGTTGTCGGCGAGGAGAAGCGACTGCTCCTCGGGCACCTTCCCGTCTACCATTCGGCTCGGGCGAAAAGAGCGCTCCAGCCATTGCATGCAGAAGTCGCTGTCGGCCCAGGCCTTGTGCTGGAAGAAGATATCTACGCGCTTGTCGTATGCTGCCTTCTCCACCTTGGTGATGCCGGTTCCTTTGCNCCTCGGGCACCTTCCCGTCTACCATTCGGCTCGGGTGAAAAGAGCGCTCCAGCCATTGCATGCAGAAGTCGCTGTCGGCCCAGGCCTTTAGCTGGAAGAAGACATCTACGCGCTTGTCGTATGCTGCCTTCTCCACCTTGGTGATGCCGGTTCCTTTGCCGCGGAAGATGATCCCGCCTGCTCCTATCGTCGGTTGCACCGTGCACTGCCGCTTCTCCAAGCCGGGGAATGGCTGGCCAACATGCACCCGCTTCGCCCCTCTTTTGTCCCAGGTGTCTTCCTGTCCGGTCACGAACCCCAACGGTACCTGGTCGGTGTTGTCCCTCAGCTCCTTCACGAAGCGCCCCCACTTGCCGTAGGGTCCTTCGTAGGGGATCANGTGATGCCGGTTCCTTTGCCGCGGAAGATGATCACGCACCTCGTCTTTGTCCCGCCTGCTCCTATCGTCGGTTGCACCGTGCACTGCCGCTTCTGCAAGCCGGGGAATGGCTGGCCAACATGCACACGTTTCGCCCCTCTTTTGTCCCGGGTGTCTTCTTGTCCGGTCACGAACCCCAACGGTACCTGGTCGGTGTTGTCCCTCAGCTCCTTCACGAAGCGCCCCCACTTGCCGTAGGGTCCTTCGTAGGGGATCAGCGCCCCTGGTTGCTCGACGGATCCTCCGTCCGAGACAGGTGCTTGTGGCTCCCACGGGATCACCTTCCCTCCATGTACACGAGGCTGTTGCAGGAGCTTGCGGAACTCCCTGCCATCTCTGGATCTTCGGTAGTCTCTCCTCCACAGACTTGTTCTTGGAGTTAGATCGCCGCCGCTTAGACAGCGAGGGCCTCGTCGCCCACTTTTGCGCGAACCGGAAGGACGGCCGGAATGCCTTTGCTCGTGGATCTTGCGGGTACCTTTCCATGATAAGCTCTTTGAAAGTGACCGTGATCCACCTTGTCGAGGCCCGCAGCTTCCTCTTGCGTCGTGCCAGCAACATCTTGTACAGCTCCTTCTCCGCGTCAGGGAACCACAGCCACCGTCGAGTGCATGTCGCCATCAGACTACTCCGCACCTTGTCAGCTGCCTGCTGCACGAGAGAGTCTTCGTCCTTCTGCCATTTGCTGATATTGCTGGCCGAGATCCCTGACTTATGTTCCAAGTAAAAGGGAGAGGTCATAGCGAAGTGCGCACGAACCTCCGTTGACCGCGACTCTAGATCTCACAGCTTCTGAATAACACCGACCTTCTCGCGCGAGGTGTACCGTCTCCTCGAGGCTGCTCCACACGTTTTCTTTGGTGGCGACTCCGTTTGTGAAAAGCCGTCGTTCACGAGGTTGTTGTTCCGCTCGGCTCCAGGGCGTAAAGGCTGCAGCACAAACGTCACGGACCCTGGCGGACATGTCGCGCCGCATCCGCGACTCTCTCCATGGTGAAACGCAACGTGCCAGCAACGTCCTGACGGTGTCCCACCCCAAGGGAGGAGAGATGATGCCCCCGCCCCCTTCCTGTTCGTTGAACACCACCGTTGAACTGAGATCTTCGCTTCACGCTCGTAGACAGTTTTGATGTGCACCCCAAGGCCCTGGGTGTTGAAGAAACGACGGTTGCACTTGGTACAAGGCACTGTCGGCTGAGGCGGTGGAAGCGCGGCGAAATTGATGTTCGTGATCTCCTCCGTGCTGCCGTCCTCACGCGTACGCACCACCTGCACAGAAATGGGGGAGGGAGGGCATCAGAGGGCGGTGGTATTGTTCATTCCTGCTTGAATTTATTATTTGTTTGAAAGATAGCAACATAAGCTCGTTCAACAAAGAGTGCTGCCGCGGGTAAGGCCAGCACAGCAGCATGTAAGAAGACGCATGTCGGAAAGGGTTGACAAAAAAAGAGGCGAACCTGGTACGGAGGCACGCTGGCGACTTACTGCTACAGACATGTTCTTGCCAATAAGTACGTACACGTTTCGTGCATAAGCGGCTCAAAAATAATCTTTATGCGGCATTTCAACAATAATATGAAGTGTTGGGATCATTCACGTGGTTCACAGCAGCACCGGTATGACGCAAATCGAAGACAAAGAATAGCAGAAGCACTCACGCAAACCGAAAGAGGCACTCAAAACACAGAGCATTCGATGCCAACAATACATACATACATACATGTAGACGCAAATGTGTTTTTTGGACAACAAAAGAAAACAAAAAAACACCAGAAAAAAAAAAAACTGGTCTGTCCGCATCTCGGTGGCGCTGAATATATTTTGAAGTATCGCGCGAGACCCTCTCGTCGGCACACACAAACATATTCTACGCACCGGTTTGCCACTGCCTTTAGCGAAGGCATTGACGATGTTGTGGGTCCCTGCCGGCGGGTTGGATGCTGCCCTCCCCTTTTTCTTGGCTGATGTTGTTGAAGACGATGATGCCTTTCGCTTCTTCTGCCCTACGAACTGCTGTGCGCTTGAACCAGCAGCCGATTCAGGAGGGGTTGGCACCGGGGTCTTTTTGTTGAGGTGGGACGCCTCATGTTCGTTGAGATGCTGCACATGCTCCTCCAAAGTAAGGATATCGGAANCCTTTCGCTTCTTCTGCCCTACGAACTGCTGTGCGCTTGAACCAGCAGCCGATTCAGGAGGGGTTGGCACCGGGGTCTTTTTGTTGAGGTGGGACGCCTCATGTTCGTTGAGATGCTGCACATGCTCCTCCAAAGTAAGGATATCGGAAGACCTCAAACTCCGCAGCTCTTCAATGCCTTTCCAGAAATTGTGAGACAGGCTCGTTGTTTAGAAGGTGCTTCTTGATGTCCCCGAGCTGGCTCGTCGACAGTTCTTGTTGATCTCTGAGGTTGACCAGCTTGGTCAAGCCCTCACGAGAGCTGGCGGAGAGAACCATCAAAGCTGTGTACAGCCGACAGCATGTGGTTCGCAGCCTGTCTGGTGTGCTGTGCCAAAGCTTTAGCGCCAGCAGAGGGCGTGGCAGAGCCCGCAGGGGACCGGAGGGGGCGCCGCACAATAAAACACTCCCCCCTCGGGGTTGGGTTTTCGTCGCTTGGCAACGACGTTGTAAAACAAGCCGCCCCCCCCGGTGTTTGCCATCGGGGTTGGGTTTTCGTCGCTTGGCAACGACGTTGTAAAACAAGCCGCCCCCCCCGGTGTTTGCCATCGGGGTTGGGTTTTCGTCGCTTGGCAACGACGTTGTAAAACAAGCCGCCCCCCCCGGTGTTTGCCATCGGGGTTGGGTTTTCGTCGCTTGGCAACGACGTTGTAAAACAAGCCGCCCCCCCCGGTGTTTGCCATCGGGGTTGGGTTTTCGTCGCTTGGCAACGACGTTGTAAAACAAGCCGCCCCCCCCGGTGTTTGCCATCGGGGTTGGGTTTTCGTCGCTTGGCAACGACGTTGTAAAACAAGCCGCCCCCCCCGGTGTTTGCCATCGGGGTTGGGTTTTCGTCGCTTGGCAACGACGTTGTAAAACAAGCCGCCCCCCCCGGTGTTTGCCATCGGGGTTGGGTTTTCGTCGCTTGGCAACGACGTTGTAAAACAAGCCGCCCCCCCCGGTGTTTGCCATCGGGGTTGGGTTTTCGTCGCTTGGCAACGACGTTGTAAAACAAGCCGCCCCCCCCGGTGTTTGCCATCGGGGTTGGGTTTTCGTCGCTTGGCAACGACGTTGTAAAACAAGCCGCCCCCCCCGGTGTTTGCCATCGGGGTTGGGTTTTCGTCGCTTGGCAACGACGTTGTAAAACAAGCCAACTCACGTCGTGAGCTCGGCAACCAGGTTACCGTCTTTTTTTTTACGTCTGTTTTTTTTTGGCGGTAACCATAATGGTGGTCGAGTAGATCTTGTTGTGCGGGGTGGATAACCCTCACTCCGCGCAAGGGGGATGATCGCACCACGTTGTGTT